CAAGAACAAGTTGGGTTTTTTTCAGGAGACTGTTCAGGTCCTTCCACTGGACCAGCCCAAACAAGGACACTTTTGCAAATGTCTCAGCAGAAAGTGCATAGAAGAATACGAGGACCTCCCCCTTGGGTCAGCCCATTGCTCCAGACCTCACCAAAGGAAGTGCTCAACCAATCAATTGGATACTGTGAAGAAAAGCTTCCTTCTCTGCTACCGAAGTACTCTTTCAAACAGAGTGCCAGGAGTCATCTGCTGTAACAGCAACCACAAACACCGTCTGTTGCCATTTCCTGCAACCTGCGTGGTGCCCCTCCTTAGGAGATCTTGGGCTGCATGCTGAAATCCACCGTGATGTTGACATACAAAGGGTTATGTTCCACTGAGAGCAGTTTATACGAACACGAGTTCAGCCCATCTGTTCTCCATGTTGTAGATACCTGACGTAGAAGCTTCATCCTGAGGACAAAGAGGAGAAAGTTTTCATTGACACACACAGGAGAGGAGTTTGGAGCTCCTCCCCACTATGAGTAAACTTGGAGGGAGAGCTACAGCCGTTCTGTATCTACTGGGAACAAAGTCATGTTTTTCCTGTTCTTGGCATAGACAAATCAGATGTGAAGAGTCCTTTGGTTTAATCTCCGAAATCATGCTCCAACCATATCCATGTTAACTATAACTTTGGAAGTTTCTAAGGAATGCTATCTGGTCAGATCTCATGTACAGACCAACAGCTGCCAGCTGAGAACAGTGGTGTCACGGGAGTGTCCCCCGGAGCTTCTGGGTACCACCAACTGCCTCTCTGGTCTAGAGCAAAGAACTTGTCCCCCAGGTGCCCGGCTCCTAGCCACGTACCAAGACAATGCAAGGTGGAACACCGTTCTTGACTCACCTCTCTCCGTTCTCCTCATTACCATGGTCTCGTTTATGGAAGATCATTGTGTACCTGGCTACATCAGCAGATGGCCTCACCACTCTCATCTTCTGCATCTCAACCCTGGATGAAGCAAGAATACTGTGAGCAAGACGTCACCTATAAACAAGCTCTTAAGAAAGAAAACATTTGGAGACGTCATCTCTGGTAGGTGCCACAGGAGGAAGCAGAGAGAACTGCAGGAAACTCATCGGCATCTCTTCCACAACCCATTTTGCCAAAAAAATGAGACTCAAGAGTTGCATTTTTGGATAGAGGTCCAGTAGGGTGACAGATACCCCTTTCTTTTGAGCAGAAGCAGGTAGTTCCTAGAGTAGAGATCACGTAGAACTTTAGGCACCCATTATACAGCAGAGTCATTTAAATCAGTACTGTCTGGTCTAGTTTGTGCTGCCCTGGAGAAGTCTGTGGCAAGGTCCCACACATTTCGCAACAAGTTCATCTCAACTTCTGCAAGAAAGCTCCTATACTTGATGGTTCTCCACTTAAAAAAAAATAAAAAATCTTGATTTCCTTTTTAATAGTGAGCAGTTAGCTGCAAAATTTTTATTTTGTGGACATGAAGAAAAGTTTCTGAGAACAGCCAGACACACTAAGCCCCACGCATGGATTTGTGTGTCTGACATCAGGGCTTGGTAGGAGCTTTTGGCCTTAAGCACATCTGTGGAACACAACAATTTCGCTCTGTCAGCAGAAAGGGTTAACTTCATGACAATGGAATTAAGGGATAGCCTGGACTTTGCTAGTCACATCAGCAGCCAGAAAGGCAACAGGAAACACAAAATTGAAGAAACTGAGCCCCTACAGCTTTCCAGTGACTGTCTGTAGCAGAAAGTTACCAAAGAAGTGATCTGAGCAATCTCTGTGATGCACACCTTGGCAAGGGGCCCAAGAGAGACCAGTCACCTACAGCAGGACCTACAGCAGGACCTACAGCAGGACCTACAGCAGGACCTACAGCAGGACCTACAGCACTCAGGCACCAAGTTCTTGAAGATACTGAAGGGGACGCTGCCATCTGCTGTCCCTACAGAGGAAGGCTGCAAGGATCTCCAGACAACCACCCACCCAACAGCAACCCTCCCATGACCTACCTGCTGCAAACTCAGTAGCCAGCCCAGTCCAAGAGCGACCCAGGAGGAAAGGCCTGAGCCAGGTCCAGTTGCAGCGCGTGCTCTGGGTCATGCCGTTTAATTTCCACACCAAGACCACCACGGCTGCAAAGTTACGAGGTGCCACGCACAGACAAGCATCACTTTTGATTCCAACCGGTGGCAAATGTGGTGGAGACCCTCAGTAAATCCTGCTGATCTGCCACACAGCCGGTTCTCTGCTGCCCACAGGAACAACTGAAAGAACACCACCACCATCTTTGTTTGCTCCTTCACTGGGACACTTCTCAGGGAGCTGGGGAACAAGATGGTACCAAGCCACCGCCTACCACTATAAAAGCCAGCTCCTAAGAGGTCACAGAGAAGAAGTTGGTGTGTCTAGCTAGGGGCTGAGAGAGGAAAAACCAAAAAACCAAACAGTTGTGATTAGGAGGGGACAGAAGTCCAGGTCACCAGTAGACCTTTTCGATTTCTTGGGATAGAGCTGACTGATCTGCTGAACTGCCACAGAGTAAAACTGCCATTTGGAAGTTCCTAACTTTAACATGCTTGATTGCACCGGTGTAATTCCTTAAAAACACCAGGGGTAGGAATTTTATGTTGTCCCAGATGTTTGTTTGCAATTTTAAGCAGTTGAGAAGAATGAGCGAGTGCAGCCCAGGTACAAACTGACAGCCTCTGCCAGCAGAGCTCATGGGGTTAAGGGTTTTTTTGTTGTTTTGGGTTTTTTTCCCCC